TCGAAACATTCGATTTACAGTTAGAACATCTTTTTCTTACGACATGTTTCGGTTCTTAAATGAACCATCTTCAGGTGTATAAAAATTAAAATTATATAAACTTAAAACTTAATCGTAATTTCTTATATGCAACATTTTGTTTATCAGTTAATAGTGATGTTCACTTCCAGATTCTTAAAGAATCAGCTGAAGTATTAATAAAATGCAAGCAAACCAAAGTATTTCTTAGATAAATGGAAGAAAGGATTACTAGATGCAAAAATTGTTGTCAGCTTAATTGAATTTTCAGTAATAGATATTCGGAAAATTCTTTTTCGAGTACAAACGAAAATCATACAGACATAAGAAACGTATTATAGATTTGTCTGTGAAGTCAGAATTGGTTTTAGCTGAGTCGACAGGGAAGAAATAGGAATTAAAATAAGACGCAAGAAGGAAGGACCTGTGGTTGTACCGCGTTTCAGTACCAGAAAACGTAGCATTTCCTGACATTGGCTTCCGGCTTACAATGCAAGCCTTACTCTCAGAGGCGATGTGTACTTATTCTTTCCGGCGCTCACTTCCAAACGTTATTGACGTTGGAATTGTATTGAAACTTCCATTTCCATCTGTTTTCAGGTTCAACTCACCAACTCTGCCTTTCCGTTCGCCAGAGAGTAAACCTTTTATTTGAAGTCGAAATACACACAAGAACTGAATTGCAGCATTGTGGACGTTCCTGAAGGTAAGTACTTTAAAATCGATGTTGCTTTACAAAGAACCCCCCCCCCCCCCAAAGGAAATAGTACGTGACACTCCAAGATATTTAAAGAATGTTGTCTGTTGATTTAGATTTTAATGCGCATGTAAATGCAATAAAAGTATTGAAAAAAGGAAATGTTCAATATACAAGACAAAAGTCTTTTTTTTCATTATAGTTAAAAAATGCGGCCAGTAATAAAAATTTAAAAACGTAATACATGAATCTCCATATATTGCAGTTATGTACTGTGTGTTTTGTATGAAACATTATAAGAAACTACGCTCAACAGAGATGAAATTAAATTTTTCGTACATGCAACGGTGTAATGACATATGGGTGTGGGGAAACAGAGGTCTACGTGTTTTGGACTTCCGTGCTAAATAGACTTAAGGAGAAAATATTCACGCCCCGGTCTCAGTGGCCCTAGACAAACAGTCGCAGACAAAAATTGTCAGGTGACAAGAGTCGGAAATTGTGTCCACGTGCTGGTTGTGCAAGTTGTCTTGGTCTACAGCTGTTCGCGTGTTATGTGCTCAGTGAGGTGTGTTTGTTGTAAAGGAACATAAGATAAAATAACATAACCAAAATACTCCAAAAATAATCCACAAATCTAAAAATTTGTGACGATGGTGCGTTTTTAAAATAACAAGTTTTCTGCATGTTTTCAATCGTCTAATAAAATCATAAAATTGCACGACGTTTCGGAGATGGGACTCTATCTCCGTCTTCAGGCGTACCTACTCAGTTGGGCCCAATCGATAGGGCTAACCAAACTTGTTGTAAATCGTGTTTGAAAATGTTGTGTTATTTTGTATGTGTGTTCATAAGTATGCTATGGCGCGGACTTTAAAATTTTTGTCTCGGTACAGTATAGTAAATGCCTGCCTGTTAATAATTTCTATTCAGTTTGCGTAATGCATTCGGGAGTGTAATTTGTGCTGGGTTAATTCTGATGCGTATCGTATTTATGCATACTATTGCACAAATTTGTGTACCAAACCTAATTCCGTTAACTGTCTGCCCTCAAGTAAAGAGGAATTTCGGACAGAGATTTCCACTTATAAAACTCTTTAACATTACAGCATATATAATTATAATCTTATCCATGTATTCTTGACTGTGTAATAAAGTATATGTGACGTGATGAAATGAGTACGGACATTGAAATTATGCTACATCGGTAAAGTTCATGCAAAATTGCACAGTAGTGATTTCGTATATTTAATTGAGATAAAATAGTATCACAGATGCACAAAAAAGTTGTTTAATATAACACGAAAATCCCATTAAACAGGCTTTGACTTCACCGTCAACTCATTAGAATACCCCCCCGGCCGTGTACCGAGTTTCAAATTAAGCCACTTTTAATAGAAGTTATGTCGAACCCTTTTCTGTCAGATGTGTATGAAATGTTATTCACTTACCTAATTTACGAAATATCCCACGCCTGCTCTTTAAATAGTGTGTGTACAAGAGCCTCATGATTAATGCATGAACTACTGTTACAAACTGAATGGGTCTTCATCATCTTCATGTATTGGTCTCGTTACAGCGTTCCATTGAAAGAAACCATAATTTATTTCTCATTTTAGTAATATTAAATTCATATAACAGAGTTTTTAAAACTAACAGCTGTTCCGTTACTCAAGAATGTCCTGCCTTTTTTTTTGTAAAAGTCGAATGTTTATCACACTTTCCACGTCAGAGATGAGTTTCTTAGTTTAATGACACAGAAGCAGGGTATTGAACCTGACTATGGCCACATTGGTTCGAAACGTGTTGTTTGAGTGAGTGTGTGTGACTGGTAGAAAAACGAGAAACACTTTGTATATTAACCGACCATCCATGTAATGTGTCACAGTGGTCACTTACTTTCAGGTTTACCGACTGAATTTCTGTATACATTTATCATCTCTTCCATCCCTGAATTCAAACTTAAAGTTTGTTATGTGAAATTTAAAACGTTATAATACTGATAAATACGTAACCGTTTGTAAAACTTTCTCTGAAATATCTTGTATCTTCGCTTATACCTTTACTTCAGTTTTACAATTTAAAATAACACTTTTTGCGTGCGGTTGCTTCGAGGAAACCTCGCGGAGTGAAGTTGGATATATAATTTCTTCAGAGCACACAGCGAGAGATAGAGGGGGGTGTTTAATTAAAATGGGGGTGTAGTGATGTGCAGAATAACTTTAAATTGTTTTTTGGTAAAGTGGGCTATGCATAAGTCTTAAGTAAGTTTGTGAAATAGGGATGAACCAAGTAACTAGTATCTTACTCCTATATTTTATACACGTAATAAAACTTAGTTAATTGTCTCCATGAACCAGTTTTTCTTCAGAAGGTCAATAAATTTGCCATCTTTTATGTAGCCTGTTTACAAGGACCTCACACTATAGATTCTGTCCAAAGTTCGAGCCCTGAATCATGCATTTCCTCAACGCTGTCTAGTTATTCACACGCCAACCCCCAAACTGAAGAAACCCAGATGTTCACAGTTTCTTAGTAACATATTTTGCAGCTACCGTCCATAAAATGGGGTTGTATTCCTTCAGGATATGGTAGGCTGTGGTGACAAAGGGCACACTTAATATAGATTATTTGGTGAAGAGTAGAAATTACTAAGCTCTTCGTTACATAATTTCCCATCTGCTCCTGTTATAATAATCATGAATGCTTAATATACACGGTGCAGAGTAAAGACCTCGTTCAACTGAAGTATACAAAGCGTTCAGTGATAAAGGTGGACGTAGCTGTCACTTTCCGGCACTTGTAAGAGACCTAAGGCCACTTAAATGTAAATGGTTGTGTTATTGCTTAGTTGTAATCAAAATTGCATTATAAAGAAACGAACCTCATTTCAACACTGATAGCGAAGGCGATATGCTCCTCTAAAAGTACAACATACAATACTACACGATATTACAATTCAGAAGACCACGGTCGACATGAGATATTAGGTTCTTACGGTGGTGAAGATGGAGGCAGTATATTCCTTCGAAACATTTGTACGAACCTGCGTCGCAACCCAGACGACAATCGCCATCTTTACCGCCATGATATCCGCAAATTTTAGATGATATGACAAGTCCAGTCGAATCTACGTCTTAATAGCGGACAAATTACCCAGATTTTCCAATTTTACCACGCGTTCCTCGCTTTCCTGTATTATAATCCTTAATAATTTATTAGTCAGAAAATAATTTTCGTGTCGTAATAACTAAATGGTATGCATGTAGTAAAAAGGTGCATAAGTTAAATGTACGTTTTTTGTAACGCTGTTGAACCTTGGCCTTTGTTATGAGAAATTGCCCGGCCATCAGTCGTTGGATGAGTGCGGTTAGTAGAGGTTAGTTACCATCAAAAACTGGAGCTCGTCGGTATAGCCGACCGCATACGTCAACCCCGCGTCATGAGTAAATAAACCCTTCTACGCTTTGCCTCCTGTAGTACCGTGAGTGCAAGAACGGCTCATACAACTCTTTATTCTACAGGCAAGACAGTTAGTTGTCTCCCAAAATGGCTGTGTTCACCGCGCAGTGGGAAGACAACCAGGCAGCATTAGCACTTTAAACCCAGTAAATGTGTTGCACTGTTAGGTTAGGAAACGTTCCTACTTTGCGACGCTAAGAAGCGGATTAGACACTCATAAGTGGGGACTGTTTAACTTACAACTGAAGCAAAATATGTGTATGAAGTTTAGATCGGGCAGTCTCGTGGTAAGAGACAACTTGCGAGAACTTGATGTAACTGCGAACATAAAATTAATGTGGTCTAGCGGTTAGAACGCTGGCCTTGTAATCCTGGGGTCTCGGGTTCGATTCCCGGCGGTGCCCGAATTTTTAACTTGTGTTGGGCAAGGCCGTGGTCTAGGCAACACGGAGTTTTCCTCCGTGGCATCCCAACAATTACTCCATTCACACACAGAAGAAGGCAATGGCAAACCACTTCTGGATCATCTGCCAAAACGTATATGAACAGGTCCCAGTCCGAAAAAAGGATGGAAGGATCCTGTTCATACGGACCTGTCGTCAGACAGAACACTCATCCCAACAATTACTCCATTCACACTCAGAAGAAGGCAATGGTAAACCACTTCTGGATCATCTGCCAAGAACGTATATGAACAGGTCCCAGTCCGAGAAAAGGATGGAAGGATCCTGTTCATATGGACCTGTCGTCAGACAGAACACTAAATAAATAAAATAACGGAGGTAGACAGTCCGATAGAAGGATACGAAAGTTTTAGATGTGCTATTTGCCTCCATCAGGGGGGTGATGGAAGACGCAAGAACGTTTGAAACGTCGGCGGACTTCTTCCAAACTATACTCTGCAACAACGCAGAAGAGAGTTATCTTCATACTCACCGCTGAGAGAATCTCAAATTTGATATCAATAAAATAAATCAGCTTCCAAAACTGGAAGCTTAAATCCATTTATAGTACATCTGTACAATTTAATTAAAACTCAAGTTTTGATTAAGCAAATAAACTGGAGATTTTAAGGTCTGAAGATCTTACTTTTCTTTTATAAATTCCTTTAAAACTTTCTAGAAATCCTAGAAGTGAGCTATTGTTTTATGAAACACTACTACATATTTGGCCGGGCTATAAAACAATGTTAGATTCAAAAGTCCCTATGAATACAATCTTGAATGACTTACAGTTTCATCATATTCGTTCGTTAGGTCACTTTTACGTGAAAACAAGTGAAGTGACCATGTTGGCGGAAAAGCCGTGGCTGACCTACCAGATGGATACCCTTCATTAAGCCACTCGTGCCAGCTTCAAGAGGCACAAAAACAGCTCTCAGAAATATTCTTTTCCAGGCAGTAAAAAATTGCCTGGCATCAGCATACCAAAACGTTCATCACTCTAATATGCCTCGACCAAGCTTACTGCCTCCATGGAGTGTACCCAAATTGGGGCGAAAGAAAGCCACACGTCGGAATATACACGAATTCAGTTTTACTAACAGG